TAACTTGTCCTAACTTGTCTAGGGTCACACAACTAATAAGTGATGGAATAAGGACTTGAACTCAGGCAACTGAAAATCAATATGACATATTTCTTTCCCTACTTGATCACTTCATGTTGGGACCTCAGAAAGCCAGTTCACTTTTATGATCCTGTTTTCTCATTGGTGAAAGTGTATTTCTACCTCACAAAATTTCCATTAGGATTCAAAGTTAGGTACTCTGAAATAAAATAATATTTACCGAACTTCTGCAGGATTCCATAAGATGCACTGCTGAGAGTAGTTAAAGGGTTCTGAAGTCAAATAATCAGGAAAGGGCATATCTTCTTAGAGGTTCAGGATGTACACCAAATGTACATAACTCCTGAGAATTCTGAAATGAAGAAACCTTTTTAACTGTTATTTACCTGACATTCCCATGCTTATTTGACCATGGGACTTTTTGTTTGACTGCACACAATTAGATCTTAACTCTGGGCCAGACTTGGGGAAATTTGGCGGAAAAAAAAGAGCATGAAATCAGAGGACCTAATGGGTCTGAGAATAGTTCAATTTTTATCCAACCTTTCAGGCAAAAATCCCTCAGCCCTCCTCCAAATCCATGTTTTCCTTCTCAACTCTTGCCTAACTCACTGGCTGATTTTCTATCTTTTGGACATCCATTCTCAGGATCATCTTCCAAGCATCAGCTAATTATGTTTCATAGCACAGATATATTAATGCAGCTAAGGTATTCATTTGTTTGTTTTTTCCATGTTCAGGGTTGAAGCACTGCCTCATCCCCTATATGCTAGGCATGTACTGGGAGATGTACTTCCCGTCCTTACTCATTTAATTCTTAAAAAAATCATTCTCTGAAGTACATGCTGAAGCAGCTAGTCCATGGTGCAGTCTATTTTCAGATTCCAAGTCTATTCTCTGTCTCTTGAATGGCTCCCCACTGTTTCTCCACAATAGAGCCCTGATTTCAACAATCTGATTTCAATTTTTCTTTTCTATCTCATCTCTTCTTCTCTATTCCCTACTATGTGAGTTTGCTAGGATTGTGAGGAAAAATTCTGTTCCAGGCAGGCTTCTCTCCTTGGCTTATAGATGGCCATCTTTAGTTCACAGGGCATCCTCCCTGTATATGAGTGTGTCTGTGATCAGACTTTCCCTTTTTATAAGGACTCCAGTTACACTGGATTAGGTCCTATTCTGATGGCCTCATTTTAACTTGAGTACCTCTATAAAAAAATCTATTTCCAAAAGGTCACATTGTGAGTTACTAGGGTATAGGGATACAGTTATCTTTCATCTTAAATGTGTCACTTCCAAGATTATATGCTTAAGGAATATTACAATGCAAGATTTTTATGGTCAGAAAATAGTATCACTTCTACTCATACTCTATTGCCTACATCTCAGTCATAAGACCCAGATAATACCGGGAGTGCCTAGCTGGGTACACAGGAAATATACTTGTTTCAGTCTCTTTTGCCATAGTGAAGGTGTTGGGAAATTTCAGGGAATGAAGGTAGAAGGAAAATATTCTTAGTTTGTGGTCTGTTTTCAAATGCTAGTTATACAAGATAAAACTGAGCCAGTTCTTGTAAAGCAACTGAGAAAGTTGGACCACTAGTCAAAAAAATTCACCTGAATTTCTTTAAAATTTCTATTTCTAATGTAATAATCATGTTAATTAGAAAAGCTTATTTTTGATACCATGTATTTTATATTATAATGACCTTATCTTTTGTACAAAAATAAAAATATTCTACATTAATAGAATGGGAAATAGTAAGCATTTTTCCCAATTATGGCTAGGGATACTTGAAATTTTAGTAATACTTTGAGTGGCTTTACAATCAATATTTTAAAAGTTAGGGTTGGTAAAATGAACCCTAAACTAATGGTCTTCTTGGTAAAAGGCTATGGTGGATATTTATAGTACATTTTTATAAATGTGGTTCTCTTGCCTGTTTTTCAAAGTGTAGTTATTACAGTTTAGCCTAACTTATACCCCTCTTGGCCACTATGTGACAAGTCACTAGACACATCCACAGCACCAGCTATATCCTTAGGCCAAACAAAAGAAAACACCTCACTTTTGGGCCCTTAGGTGATTTACTAAGGGCCCATTAGTTGACATCAAAGTCAAGTTTATGAGAGAAAAAGGCCAACAATGTAAATCCCAATAGTTTGGAAGTGAATTAAAAAGCTCCCAAATCAGTACTTTTCTCAAATGTTAAATAATTCACTGTGGCATTATAGATACAAGCCTCCAGCAAAAGTTACATTACACTTGAACAATTAAGGAAGCAGAAACCAAACAAATGACTTCAGGGGTAGAGAAACAAATTAATGATTTCTCAAAGTACCAAATTACTTTTTCACATTAACAAGTGTGAAAAACAACCAAACACACCAATGGCTTACTAGATTAAGTTTGATTATAGAAAATAGCCTGGAACTATATGCAGAACTATTCCCTAAATGTATAGGGAATTCTATATACTTCAGTATAAAACTTACTTATGTTATTTGGAAAATTTTTATGTCCATAATATATACCTTCTTTTTCACAAAGTTCTTTTACTCAGATTGCTCAAATTACAACCATCATCTACCAATTTATGTTATGGGAAGGATCAGAAGCAATGTAATTGTTTTTTAGAGACTGGATAAGAAATCAGAAACATGGGGTAACATCACAGTGTACATATACATTAAAAACCCCTCAAGGGTAGAATGGGTACACACTTTAGAATAAAAACAGGATTTTAATCCAACTCTACCACTTTCTACTTAAAAAATTTTCAACAAGTTTTAACTTGAGTAATGGTTATCTCTTCTATAAAATGAGGATGATTCACTTACGCAACCAATAAATACTGTATCGAGCAGTACCTTCCAAAGGTTATTAAAGATAATTGCTGGTATTCATTATATATGTGTAGTTACCCAAATAATACAAGTAGATACAAGATGATAAGCAGATATAAAGGATGTTAGGTGATATGAGGTTCATTTGCTTTCCAAGGATCAAAGGCTATTAGTATTCATTCTAAATCTTTATGTATTTTCTCCTATAACCCCAACAAATCTGAACCACGAGTTTCTACAAAGTTTAAAGGCTAAAATGTTGAGCTCCGATTCCAGTAGGTATCAGGGAAGAATGTACATATATTAAAGATTTCCCAAACTGCCTTCAATTTGTAAGTTTTTCAAGACATTTTGTGTGAGGGGGAGGGGGTGCTAGGGATCAAACCCTGGGCCTCGCACGTGCAAGTGCTCTACCACTGAGCTACATCCCCAGTCTTTTTTATTTTTATTATGAGACAGGGTCTAAGTTGCCCAGGCTAGACTTGAACTTTTGATCCCCCTGACTCAGCCTCTGGTAGGTGGAATTATAGACAAGCATCACTGAACCCAGCTTTTAAGACATTCTTATACTAAGATCGTTTTTGTCATACCAATTTAATAACTAGTATTAATAACTTGTAGAGGTAAAATAAATTATTTGAAAGAGAACAGAAAGATGGAAAAACACAAGAGATTTAGAGAGAAGAGATCCAAAAAACACAAGAGATTTAGAGAGAAGAGATCCAGAAGTAGAACTTCGCTTTCCCCATTTGCGAGCTATGTCACCTGAAAAAGTCTAAAGTTTTAAAAATCTGTTGTCTCAAGAGAAAAATGAGTATAACAACTCTTAGCTGTTGAATATTATAAGGATCAAATGATAACTGTCATAAGAATAGTTAGTAACCTGAAAGCATAAAACAAATATAAATTATTTCCAAATGAGTAAGAACTGAAAGTGATCTCCAGATACCCTTTCTAGGGATGACACTTATATGGACAAATAATGATAGATGTGTAAAATGATACTGGCCAAAGGAGTGGTCATTTTTAGCCTCTCCAGTAATTTTCTTTGCTTGCTTATTAATSAGGAAGGGTCAATGGACTTCACACATGGCAAGTAATAGTCATCTCTAAATAGTATACAAGAAAATATTTATGGATAAGACTGCTAGAAGTAACAAAAAATCATAGATATGTATTGATTTTACAATAAATAAACAAGGTCAATTAGCCATAAGTCAGAGTTTCTAGAAATGCTTCTTTTTGTGAGAAAAACTTCCTTGTCATCATGTTTTTAGGGTGGTTTTAACTTCACATGCCAAAGTTTACTCGCAGATTGTTACTTCTGTACAGGCTGTTAACCCAATGCCAAGCATATTGTTAGTATTAAATTAAATTATTGCTGATATACTCTTACTAAAAATATATACAGTTTTTTTAAAAAAAATTAAAAATTTTAAATTTATTTTATATGCAGAAAAAATGAGTGAAACATGTTTATTAATTTAAAAAATGTATAAGATATAAAAATTTCTCATTGTAGTAACCTAGTAAAAATCCTTTTTTGGGACTGAGGTTGTAGTTCAGTAGTAGAGCGCTTGCTTGCCTCACATGCGTGAGGAACTGGGTTCAATTCTCAGTACTGCGAATAAAAAAATAAATAAAGGTCCACTGACAACTGAACAAATATTAAAAAAAAAAAAACACTCAAAATCAAATAGAAAGGATAGCACTAAAGTAGACTATTTCTCCTAAAATGGGAGTAGCATTAGTCTTTATACAATTAGATAGCACTCTGAGTAGGTTTAAAAATCACAAATCTTCAATTAGGTGACACAGGCATCTCTACAGAGATGCAGCAGTCCATTATGGGAAGAGGGGGGTAATGAGAAGAACATTTTAAATGCTCAAGGTAGAAATGAAAGCATTTGATACAAATGTGTGGCGAAATTTACGAGAGGTATACATGGAGCTGGCCAAGACTATTAGACTCATTAGGAACAGCAAAAATCCATTTTTAGAAACCTACAATATATTTTACTCTGTCTTTGAATCAGAGAGTGACAAAAGGGCTAAACGGTGATTTCCACTGACCACTATTCAGTAAAAGAAAACACAATCTAGAGAACAATGTTGGAAGAGTTATTTCTTCTTACCATGAGTAGATCCCACTGACTGTGTCATAGTTCTGTGAAGTGTTCACTCCGCTGGGCCCAGCTGCTTTCGAAATAAGCAGCACCACCAAGCCCCTCAACTGGAGGTTATGGCGGCTGTCATGCACAAGTCCCCTGCCAACAAGTAAAGGGAAAAGAGGATTAATATACCTTCACAGGATCAGTCAGACCGAGTTAGAAAACTGCTATGAGTATATCTAAATTTTAAAACTGGTCAATGGGATTTATTGAAAAGAAAGGGATGGGGAGGAAGGAATTCAATTGAGAAAGCAGGGAACATAGAAACAACTAGAGAAATCCATGTCTGGTTTTTAAAAGTAATACTTGAAAGTTATAAGGCTTGATGATCTAGTTCTCTCTGGATCTTTCTACTATCTATTTCCTTCCTTCCTTCCTTCCTTCCTTCCTTCCTTCCTTCCTTCCTTCCTTCCTCCCTCCCTCCCTCTTTTGTTGTTGTTGTTGCTGATGAACTCAGGTATAGTATGTATGCTAGGTAAGTGCTCTACAGGAAGCCATAGTTTAAAGTGTTTTGGTAGTTGATGGCAATTGTAATAGAAACTGTATGGCTTGGATGAAGCAATACTATTTGGTGATGATAGTAATAAGAGAGAATGGTAAAAAAAAATTATTTGTCTTCATGGTAGAAAAGAAGTTCAGAGAATGAAAGGATTAAAAAAAATCCAAATGACTTAAAAAATGCATTTAAGTAAATAGAAATGAATGCCATCAGCAAAAATCTTGTCATGTCCTATTAATAGGAAAGCATCATCATTCTAGGCAATAATAAGGCTTTAATTTAGGATGTCATATTTCTTTTGTTATGAGGATTGAACTTTTATAATTTCTGCTATAACTGGGGCTAGCAATACTTTCTAGAACACATTTTCTTTTTAAAGTGTTGCAAATGGTTGTCATAAAAGACTAAATGGCATCATTTAAAATGAAAGAAAATGGGCAAAATGTTAAGATAAAATTAATAGGTAGAAGAATGCCTTTGTGAGTACTAATCAAATAGATTATGTTATAGCATAAATAAATAGTATACAAGTATAGTTCTTGAATGTGGTAAAAAAGCAATGCTAAAAATTAGTATTGTTCATTGAATTAAGACTTAGTTTTGAAAAAAGAATCAATTTAAGTTAATGAAGTTAACATAACCAAAGATAATGAGTTAATCTATTACTTAAAAATCTTTGCCTCTCAAGCTTCTGAACAGAAATTTGTAAGAGGTCCCTTTTTACACTTCATTAGTTTCAAAATAAGACAAATCAGGTTCTTTACAAAAGAACAACTTTACCTCTTTTACTGGTATATCTTACCCTTAACCAAGCAAGTGATCTTCAGTAATTAGAAAGGTTAATAATTTTTAAAAAAGAAGTTCTCATTTCCTAGGAAAATGAAGTTAAGGTAATCAAATTACATTGCAGCAGAAACAAAATATGAGAAAAGTCCTAAACTCTTTATTATTATGTAACAAGTTGCCTAAATCTTATGGATCCAAATTGTAAGAAGGCTGGAAAGCACCCTGTGGGGAACAAGAAAATGTAAAATAGGATCTTGTTCTAAATTTTTTGCTTGGAATTGCAAATTTTAACTAAGGCTATCAAGTCCTCATTTTAGGTATTACCTACAGTGAATCTTTATGCATCCTTTCTTTTATAATATTAAAGAGAAGGTTTAAATAGATCTTTAATTCTAGAAAGGCAAAAGAGGTAGGTAAGGCTTTGTGTGTGGGTGGATACAGATGTGGATGGGTGTTGGGGTTGAGCCTGGTCAGGGATGAGGGATATGATGATACAGTAAGAACCCTAGCAGGTGAATTTGGAGACAACACAAACCTAGTCACACTGAGAAACTAGGTCTAGCAACAATTTTGACAACATTTTCTCCAAACTTCTTAGAGATGGGAACCTTCACAGGGGATTAATAATAGCATCAGTAAACATTTATCTAATGCTTTATGTATTTTAACATATCAGGAATTATTCTACATGCTTTACTATATATTAACTAAATTATTTCACAACTCAAACAGGAAAGTACCACAATTATCCTGATTTTTATAGATGAGAATGAAGCACACAGAAATATTGAGTGACTTTCCCAAGGTACCATAGCTGATAAGTGGTGGAGCCTTGACAGAGCCAGGCTCTGACCAGGCAAATAGTTAGTTTTAAGGTCTATAGACACTCTTTTTTTATATATTTATTTTTTAGTTGTAGTTTGATACAATATCATTAATTAATTACCCCAGCCCCTATAGACACTCTTAATCATAATGCAAATAGTGACTCTGTATCTGCTTCATCTCATGGACAAAACTATTTGCTAAATATAATTAGAACAGTAGGCTTTAGAACCAGACAGGCTTATGTCTGAAAAATTCTTTTTGTTATTCACCAGCTGTATTACTTGAAGGCTGTCAACTCTTTTATAAAATGAGAGTAACAATGTCTACTTTCCATACTCATGGTGGGGAAGAGATAACAGGGATAAAGCCTATAACTCTGTGAAGCATATGGTAGGAGATCAAGTTATCAGTAAATTACATTCTCTTTGATGCTTTTTTATGATTTACTTTTTTTTCAATTCCTTCCTTTCCTTTCACTCCCTGTCTCCTCCCATCTGTCTTCCCCCACTCTACTTGCATATAGAATCTCCTACAAATATTGTTCACTTTTCTCCCTTCCCAAAGGACAAAAGTTACCCCACTTTTCTGCAAGCATCACTATCAATGTACTGAAAAGGTCAGGAAGAAAAACAAATAGATACTAGCTTAAGTTAATTAAATAACTGTTTCTAAAAGCAACTTCTTGACATTCACTTCATTAACACCTTCAAAAACAGTACAATATACAATAGAATATTACTCAGCATTAAAAGAGAATAAAATCATGGCATTTATAAGTAAATGGGTGGAGGTGGAGAATATCATGTTAAGTGAAGTAAGCCAATCCCCCCAAACCAAAGACTGAATGTTTTCTCTGATATATGGATGCTGATCCATAATGGGGGTTGGGGGGTGGGGACATGGGAGGAATGGAGGAACTTTAGACAGGGCAAAGGAGAGGGAGGGAAAGAAAGGGGGCATAGGGATAGGAAAGATGGTGTAATGAGATGGCATCATTACCCTAAGTATACACGAATGGTGTGACTCTACTTTGTGTACAACCAGAGACATGAAAAATCTATGTCTACTATGAGAAATGCATTTTGCTGTCATGTATAACAAATCAGAAAAAACAATTTTTTTAAAAAGTACTGAGATAAACTGATGATGCCCACAACTCAAAAATTAGCTCTGATCCTAAAGAAAGTAAGAAATTTTGTTTCTCAGCATAAAAAAGTTCCTGGCATTCTAAATTTAAAAAGATAATATGTTTCATATAATCCAGGTCATATTTTACTGGGAACACTGATCTATCTACTATCAGTGTCTCTCTTTATGGAGTTACATCCACAAACAGGAGCATATCCAGAAGATGGTAAAATCACATACAGGTTGCAAAAGTTTCAGATTTAAGGACTATGTAAATATTCCGAAATACAAACAAACAAACAAACAAAAAACCCAAATTTGAAACATATGTGGTTAAGCATTTTGAATACCTCAACCTGTATTGCCACATACAATGAATGCTAGCTTAGAGAATGGTAAAGTTGGTTTTTCAAATTTATTCAGTCAAAAATGTACTGAGTGCTGATTACATGTCAGGCATGGTAGTAAACAGGCAGTGGAGGACATAATGACAAGCAATGGTGAGCTGTGGTCTCCCTTCTTGTAGATAACAGTCTGAATGAAAAATATCATGATTAAATGCAACATGAATTACTTTTAGGGATGAACAGGGTTATGAGAGCAAGAGACCTCCAGGAGATTTAAAGAAATGAGGGCGATTCCTCAGAAAACTTGGAATGGAACCAACATTTGATCCAGCTATCCCACTCCTTGGTTTATATCCAAAGGACTTAAAGTCAGCATACTACACTGACACAGCCACATCAATGTTTATAGCAGCTCAATTCACAATAGCTAAACTACTGAACTAACCTAAGTACCCTTCAATGGATGAATGGAGATAGAAACTGTGGTATATAAACACAATGAAATATTATTACTCAGTCTTAAAGAAGAATGAAATGATGGTATTTTCTGGTAAATGGATGGAGCTGGAGAATATCATGCTAAGCTAAATAAGCTAAGTCCAAAGAAACAAAGGCTAAATGTTTTCTCTGGTATGCAGATGCTAATTCACAATAAGGGGGGCAGCAAGGGAAGAAAAGAGGTACTTTGGATTAGGTGGAGGGAAGTGTAAAGAAGGTAAACGGTAGGGGGACAGAACGATAGTAGAATGAATCGGACATTATGACCCTATGTGCATATATGATTACACAACTGGTATAATACCACATTGTGTACAACCAGAAGAATGAGAAGTTATGCTCCATTTATGTATGATGCATCAAAATGCATCTATTGTCATGATTAACATGATTAACTAGAACAAATTTTTTAAAAATCTTCAAAAAAAAAAAAAAAAAGAGGATGTGGGAAGAGACAGGTAAGAGGAGTGTATTTACAGCCCAAGAATGGGCATATCCCTGGCTGAGAACATTGTATGAAATAAGGTTAGAGACAGATAGGGATTGGACCACATAGGTTGAACAGGCTTTAGTAAAAGTTTTGCTCTTCATCCAAAGAATAATACAAAGACACAACAGCATTTTATTAAACATAATCAGATATTTTTTTAAAAAATCATCCTCTCCAAATCCTTTCTCCTCAGTGTAGAAAAACAACTTGGCTGGAGAAGAGAGGAGGAAACCAAGTGGGTGTGAGAATCCAGATAGAAGGCTTTTACAATACTCAATGAGAAACATGGGCCAACTTGGTGGACATCTTGAGATGTCTAACCCTAAAATAACATGATTCAATTCAAATAGACATTGCATGCTTTACTGTCCTAGAATTTAGATTATGTAGATATATCAGTAATTTTAAATAATCTTATTCTGAAAGCCTGTAAGCTGACTATTGAGGGGAAAATACTTCTTTCAAAATTCTACTCCAGATCTATAACAGATGAACATATCCTAATAACTAGGCAATTTCG